GAGAGGAGGATTAGCAGTAGCTCAGGGCTGATCTTCCTCACAAAAAAATAAATCAATAAATAAAATGGTTTAAAAAAAAATTTACACTCTCTCCTCAAACATAATATTCTATCTTTCCCTCCTCATTCTCAGGAGAAGACCTTGCCTCCTACTTAAGTGAAAAATTGAAAAAAAAAATCACCAAGACCACTGGGCAGGAATTCCCACAATTGCGTCCCTTACTAAGCCACAAATTTATTAGCATCAACACTCATCCTTTTTGCTTATTGCCAGGAGAGGTATCTTCCTGTTAAAAACAAATTCCTATAACTTTAACCCTGATCTCAAAATAATATACCTTATTTTGATGCCTCTCCTCTACACCCCCATAGAGCCCTGTGGATATCATCACAGGATTTATCACACTGTACTTATCTTTTCCCCTACTACGCATTGAGAGATCCTCAAGGCTTGGCCTCTTATTAGGTAGCTTACTTTAGCAAAGTTACTTAAATTCTCCATGCCTCAGTTGTCTCATCCCTAAAATGGGAATGATATAATTTTCTATAAATCCTGGCTCTAGTCATGTGACCTTGAGTAATTATCTGACTTCTCTGTGCCTCAGATTCCTCATCTCTAAAATGGTGATAAAAGCGTATACCTCATAAGGTTGCAAGAGGTTTAAACGGGGCCGGCCCCACAGCTTAGCGGTTAAGTGCGCGCGCCCCACTACTGGTGGCCCAGGTTCGGAACCTGGGTGTGCACCGACACACCACTTCTCCGGCCATGCTGAGGCCATGTCCCACATACAGCAACTAGAAGGATGTGCAACTATGACACACGACTATCTACTGGGGCTTTGGGGAAAAAAAGGAGGAGGAGTGGCAGTAGATGTTAGCTGAGAGCCGGTCTTCCTCAGCAAAAAAAAAAAGAGGAGGATTAGCATGGATGTTAGCTCACGGCTGATCTTCCTCACAAAAAAAAAAAAAAAAAGAGGTTTAAACGGGTTAAAACCACATTTTATCTGGTGCGTATTTTACACTTACAGCACATTTCACTTTGGCCTAGCCACATTTCTAGTGCTCACTAGTCACATGAGGTTAGTGGCTACCGTATTGGAGAGCAAAGTATAGAAAATAGTAGGTGTTCAATAAATGTCATTTTTAGAACACTGATGTAAGATTAAAAAGAACTTCCAGACCCCCAGGATCGGAAAACAAATACTTTACATAGTCTAACATTTCTTTTTTTACATTTTAACATCTCTGAAAACAGGACTAATCCTACAATCGATGTCATGTGACAGTTTTAACGGCAGCATTCTTTTGTAATGGTTCATAAGATAATGATTTATCTTACAACTAATGGCATCTTAGAGTTGATGAAATACTATGTATACAAAACACCTAGTGGGCCGGCCCCGTGGCTTAGCGGTTAAATGTGCATGCTCTGCTGCTGGCGACCCGGGTTCGGATCCCGGGCGCGTGCTGACGCACCACTTCTCTGGCCATGCTGAGGCCGCGTCCCACATACAGCAAGTAGAAGGATGTGCAGCTATGACATACAACTATCTACTGGGGCTTTGGGGGGAAAAAAATAAATAAATAAAATCTTTAAAAAAAAAAACAAAAAACACCTAGTGCCTAGCATATAAGCTTCACATAAATTAACTATGTCTTATTCATACTTGTATTTCTAATACCAGTTAAATCCCTGGCACAGTATGTAGTTAATAAATGTTCCTTGAGTGAATTTCTACAGGATGTCTTGTAACCTCAAACTCTGTACATCTAAATCCAAATATATTATATTCCTTCCAAAACCAACTCCTTCTCACAAATTTCGTTTTATTGTCAAAGGTACCATCATTCCAAGTCATGCTGACTTACAAACTCAGATTTTCATCTCCTGACTCTTCCCTTAATTCAATTTAGGTACCAGACCATGTCAATTCTTCCTTTAAAATTTCCCCTAAAATGTGTCCTTTCAAATTTTCATTCTCATTGTCACCCCCTTAGTCTAGGACAGTGGTTCTCAAACTTTTTGGTCTCAGGATCCTTTACATTCTTAAAACTTAGAGGACCGACCCCAAAGAGCTTTTGTTTATCTGGATTATACCTATTGATATTCACCGTATTGGAAATTAAAACTGAGAAATTTTAACACTACGCTAATATAAATGACATATTTTATGAAAAACACTTATATCTGCCAAACAAAAAAAAAATGACTAGAGTGACATAGCTTTACATTTTTACGAATCTCTTTAATGTTTGACTTAATAGACGATAGATTCTCTGCTTTTGCATTAAATCTGTTAAGAGATGGGGTTTTTTTTAACAGTTTTATTTATTTATTTATTTTTGTGAGGAAGATCAGCCCTGAGCTAACATCCATGCTAATCCTCCTCTTTTTGCTGAGGAAGACCGGCTCTGAGCTAACATCTATTGCCAATCCTCCTCCTTTTCTTTCCCCCAAAGCCCCAGTAGATAGTTGTATGTCATAGTTGCACACCCTTCTAGTTGCTGTATGTGGGACGCGGCCTCAGCATGGCCGGAGAAGCGGTGCGTCGGTGTGCACCCGGGATCCAAACCCAGGCTGCCAGTAGTGGAGCGCGTGCACCTAACTGCTAAGCCACGGGGCCGGCCCAAGAGATGTTTTGATTAAAGGACATGAAGAAAATCCAGTCTCACACAGATACGTAGTTGGAAAAGAGATAAAAAATTAATATCCTTTTCAGAAAATTGTGGATATGAGTCTTTGATACTATACCAAAACTTGCTAAGTGGTAGTCTCTTAAGGGTTAGCTGCAATGTGGAATCTGAAACTTTTATCAATAAACTCTTTGTACCGTATTCCATTAAAATTCATTGATATAGCTGCACTTTGAATGGATCTTTTACCCATGCATAATTTTATGACATCATACTTGGTCATCTGGAAAATACTGGTTCACTGAGTTATACCGAGCTTCCAAATATTGACACATTTCATTACACAATATCTAAAAATCACATTCATTAATATTGCCACCAATCTCATTAGAAAAGTCTTTAAGTATTGAGAAGCTGTCACAGTGGCAGATACAAATTTTCCAAACTTGTAATTTTCGCTTGAAAGCTCAAATTTTATCATTGGCAACAAATATTGCCAGTTGTTTTCTTTGAAATGACAAGCTCACTTTGTTTATTTTCAAGAAAACATCTGCCAAATACCCAAGTCTGAACAACCATAGTTTATATGTCAGTCATTCTTTCAAGTAATAATAGAATTCCATGAAAAAAGCAGCTAGTTTAGCTCGCAACTCAATCATACAAGTGCTCTTCCTCAGGACAAGTACTGTACTTTAGGATGCAGGAGGACCTTATGTGTACTTCCCATTTCATCACACAGAATATTAAAGATTCTCAAAGGTCGAAATTTAATAAAATGAATGAATTAACTTTTACTGCTTCATTTGGGACATTCTTAAGTGAAACTGGCACTTCTGTTTTTTACTGCAGTGACGAATACAATGACCACTAATACAGTTTGGTCCTACTGTCCTGATTCGTGCTAAGGCACCAGTTTTATCCACCATCACTTTAGCACCATCAGTGCAAATGCCAACACAGTAAAAATAGCGGATAACATCTTGATATTGCTATGAAAATAATTTTAACCTCTCAGACCTCCTGAAAAGGTCTCAGGGAGCCTCAGGGGTCCGTCCACAGACTATACTTGAGAATTGCTAGTCTAGGCCTTCATCATGTTATACCTGCATTATCCTGTTAGTCTGCTAACTAGTCTTCCTTACTCTAGCCTCTCCCCTAATTCATAGTGTTTGGCACTACTAGATACAACTTCCTACAATGCTGCTTTCAACATGTTCTGCCCAAAGTTTTTCAGTGATCTCCCAACCAGATAGAAGATCAAGTTCAAATTCCTTAGCATCATATTCAAAGATCTCTACGATCTTTCCTCATCCAACTTTTTCAGCCTCACCACCCACCACCGCGTGACACTACCTGTAATTAAGTCAGTCTGATCTATTTAAAGTCTCCTGAAACACAATTTACACATCTTGCAACTTTGCTTGAAGTATTCCTGTCATATCAAACATCCTTTCCTTTTACCAAATCTCAAATCCTATTCAACCTTCAAGACCCAGCTCAATGTCCACATACTTTATGATGCTTTTTCTAATCACTCTGGTTTACAGTGCTCTCTTCCTTCCTGGAAATCTCACAGCAATTATTATCCTCACATTATCATATAATGTCTTTGATAATTTAACTCTTGAATTGTTATTTAACTTTATGTGCTTTCCTTAATCCCCCAACTAGATTATAAATCCCTGGAATACAGAAACTCTCGGCTAAACTTTAAATCTTCTACAGTGCCTAGTACAACGCAACGAACAGTGGAAACATCAGTTTTTAAAAATGAAATCAGTGAATGAATTCCATTCCCAAAGGCAAGAGGAATTTGGTTAGGTGAATGGTTCACATGGTCTGAGAACTACTGATGGTCCTTGAAAATCTTCCAGGTGGACAGAGTGATTTCTTAGAGTTATTAATGTTTTCAATGGGAATAATTATGCTATTTAATCAAAATCAGTCCACTGGCATCTCAAGAAAAGCAATCTTCTCCTCGTTAATTCTGATGAGGTTTTTGCAGTGTTAATCAAGAAAATGTAGAATAAGTGACCCAAAGGACCCTGCTGAAGTGGTTTAAAAGGGAAAAGATGGCAATCACCACTCTAGATCAGCAAAGAGACTCCAATGTGGAGTCAATTCTATCTGTAACATTTTATTTCCTTAAAAGATATAAAGCAAATATGGTAAAATTTCATATTTGTTAAACTGAGAGATAGACACAAGGCTGTTTGTTATGATATTCTTTAAACTTTTCTATGCTTGATATATTTTAAAATAAGTAAGGAGAAACACACTGTGTGGCACTTTGAGGCACATACAGTGCGTCAATATACAAGCACGTACCATTTGATCGATGCATGATACAGTCCAATTTTTACTTACCAGCGCATCATCTTGCAATGAAGCAAAAAAGAAGCCATAGAGCAAGTTAATTTTGTCCTTGTGATCAATGAAGTCAAACATTGCAACCAGCCAACGATAAAAAAGTACCTATTGAGAGACAAAAAGCTTATCTTTAGAGAAATACAACTGGCAGAGAAGAGCTTAATTCCCCCGTCAGGGCTGTTTTAGAAGCCTCTAGCACAAAATAGGATAATAGATTTTATTTCTCAGTAAAAATTTCTGTTTGAACAGAGTCCTTGCATCAAGCTATATTGCTCTAAAACTACAGGCTTTGCACAAAAGGCCACTGCCATTACTCCATAAGTGGCTCTTCCTTGCCAGCCCTTAAGTGGCTCTGAAGGACTTATAATCAAAGTGTTTAAAAAGATTACCTTGGTGCTACCAGAACACTTGCCAACACAAAGCCAGGAGACCGCCTTAACTACAGAATCTTCTGATATTAGAGTTGCTGGAATCATGCACTTCAATATCCGAGTGCTTACAGCACTCCCTGGAAAGCAGACAAACTCTAAATTAAACTACATTTTAGTATCTTGATTGTTCCCTTACTATTTTTCGCTCTTGGTCCTAAAAATCTCACTTTACATTGAAGGCAATAAAAAATAACAGTGAGTAATAGTCGATGTCTTATCATCACTACAAAACATATTTCAAAACAAAAATGTAATTAACTTCAATACAAATTATAAAGCAAATTTTTGGCTCTAATATTTCTATTTAAAAGGAAGGATGAGTACAGGGCTTCTTTTTGGGGTGATGAAAATGTTTGGGAATTAGATAGTGGTGATGGTTGCATAATTCTGTGAATATGCTAAAAAAAACCCAAAACCTGAATTGTATACTTCAAAAGGGTGAATTTTATGGCACGTGAATTATACCTCAAAAAAAGGTCTTTTACTCACAGAAAAATTTCAAGGATTATTTTTTTATTTTGTTATCATTTTTATTTATTTATTTATTTTTTGTGAGCAAGATCAGCCCTGAGCTAACATCCATACTAATCCTCCTCTTTTTGCTGAGGAAGACCGGCTCTGAGCTAACATCTATTGCCAATCCTCCTCCTTTTTTTCCCCCAAAGCCCCAGTAGATAGTTGTATGTCATAGTTGCACATCCTTCTAGTTGCTGTATGCGGGACGCGGCCTCAGCATGGCCAGAAAAGCGGTGCGTCGGTGCGCGCCCAGGACCCGAACCCGGGCCGCCAGCAGCGGAGCACGCGCACTTAACCGCTAAGCCACGGGGCCGGCCCTGTTATCATTTTTAAATGGCACAACAGATTCTGATTTATCTAAAGCTACTGACAGACATTTTTCATGAGCTGCTACATTTAACAATAAATAAATATATTTGTATTCTCCATCCCCCCCAAAAATGTGGAGAGGATAGTAGAATGGAACAGTTATGCTTGGAATTAGCTGGCAGTAATATCATTCTGTACTGGTCCAATCTTTCCATCACACTCTCTGGCTTCCATGGTATTCTCCCATCTGGTAAAAGAACTGAAGTTGCAAATAGCTCTACATACATCTTATATCAACTTCTGCTTATTAAGCCTTCAAGAATTAAATGTATATCTCATGAATTTCTTTTTTATATTTAAACATCGTTTTATTTGCATCATAGTGTGGTCATCACAACTGTTCACTGAAAAAACACTGTTCTCAACTTCTCATGCAAGTAGAATTCTCAAAAACATCTTGGATACACATGACTTGAACCCCTGTTTTATTTACATGTGTGACAGTGTGGTGATCACATCCATCCACTATAACACTGTTCTCAACTTCTCTGGCAAGTACCAGTCTTAGAAACATCTTATACATGTCTAAACACTGTTTTATATGCATTATAGTATGGTGATCACATCCATTCACTGAAATAACAATGTTCTTAACTTCGCCTGCAAGTAGCATTCTCAGAAACTTTTTTTTTTTATACTTTTTTTTTAATATTTATTTATTTATTTATCTTTTTTCCCCAAAGCCCCAGTAGATAGTTGTCATGTCATAGTTGCTCGTCCTTCTAGTTGCTGTATGTGGGATGCGGCCTCAGCATGGCCGGAGAAGCGGTGCGTCCGTGCGCGCCCGGGATCCAAACCCGGGCCGCCAGCAGCGGAGCGCACGCACTTAACCGCTAAGCCACCGGGCCGGCCCTCAGAAACTTCTTATATATCTTTTTTCAAGAGGTTGAAGACGTCTCTTCATTTTTTTAAAATAAAAATTGTATATGTTTGAGATGTACAACATGATGATATATCTAAACAGTGAAATGATTACTACAGTCAAGCTAATTACCATATTATCTCCTCACACAGTTACCATTTTTTTGTGTGGTCAAAGCACCTGAAATCTACTCTCTCAGCAAATTTCCAGTATTCAATACAGTATTATTAACTATAGTCACCATGCTGTACATTAGATCTCTAGAATTATTCATTGTACATAACTGCAACAATGTATCTCATCAATTTCTACCCCCATCATTCTGTGGAGAAGAAAGTAGTGACGACAGTAATGAATCACAAGAATAAAAATCTCTGCTTTCTACCCTTGTAGTTTCTTGTTTTATTTATTTCTCTTTCCTCCCCCACTCCCATCCCCTAACCCTTCTAAAATTTAAAATAGTCTGACCACTAACACTTTACACATATACCAAATTCAAAGGGGGAATTCAATACAGACTCTATTCTTACTTTCCAGTGAATTTTTTTTTTAATTTTATTTTTTTTCGAGGAAGGTCAGCCCTGAGCTAACATCCATGCCAATCCTCCTCTTTTTGCTGAGGAAGACCGGCTCTGAGCTAACATCTATTGCCAATCCTCCCCCTTTTTTTCCCCAAAGCCCCAGCAGATAGTTGTATGTCATAGTTGCACATCCTTCTAGTTGCTCTATGTGGGATGCCACCTCAGCATGGCCGGAGAAGCGGTGTGTCGGTGCGCGCCCAGGATCCGAACCCAGGCCGCCAGTAGCAGAGCGCGCGCACTTAATCCCTAAGCCATGGGGCCAGCCCCTCCAGTGAATTTTAATTAATTTTTAAAAGAGTCCCTTTGCCCCTAATTAGGATGACATTTCTAGCACACCTGCCCCTGAATATGCATTTCCACTTAGCAAAAGAGCTACATGTAAAGATCTAGTAGTGATGGGGGCTATCACAGAAACAACCAAAAGGGAGAAAAGAAATTTAGGAGGCTACATTTGACATCACCAAATTCCAGCTTGGCCAAAAAATGAAGTTAGACTAGAAAGCTAGAGATTATTTTAACAATTGTACATACAAGTTTCCAAGTCTGAGGCATGCATTTTGAAAGAGGCATGCATTTGCCACAAGACCTGGCAAACATCATGAAAACCTTCTAACCATTAATTTCTGAGATACCAAAAAAGAAAAGAGAAATTCCAAAATAGGAAACACCTGTACATTCTATACATGTTTTTTTTAACAATTTTATTTATTTATTTTTCCCCCAAAGCCCCAGTAGATAGTTGTATGTCATAGCTGCACATCCTTCTAGTTGCTGTACGAGGGACGTGGCCTCAGCATGGCCAGAGAAGCGGTGTGTCGGGGCGCGCCTGGGATGCGAACCCCAGGCCGCCAGTAGCGGAGCGTGGGCACTTAACCGCTAAGCCACGGGGCCGGTCCATCTATATATGTTTTAAGGGAAGAAGGGAGAGATAGAATTGTTCTCGATAGACACTGATCAGTTAAACACAGTTTCCTGGAAAGATATTAGAACCAAACAATCTGAAACCACTTACAAGAAGAAAAGCCAATTTTATTAGGTCAAATTTAACTTTCTAGAAAAACACAGAGAACTAATCAGGTAAAAGTATAGAACTAAAATATCCGGGAGTCATATACTGAATTTGGCTAGTAACATATTGTTGCTTTAAAACACACACACCTGGGCCGGCCCCGTGGCTTAGCGGTTAAGTGCATGCGCTCCGCTGCTGGCAGCCCGGGTTCGGATCCCGGGCGCGCACCACTTCTCCGGCTATGCTGGGGCCGCGTCCCATATACAGCAACTGGAAGGATGTGCAGCTATGACATACAACTATCTACTGGGGCTTTGGGGGGGGAAAATAAATAAATAAAATATTTAAAAAAAAAAAAAAAAAAAAAACACACACACACCTGCAAACATGATACTAGTGTATACATAAAGGAACCCAACATGCAAGGGCCAGGAAATAGTATATAAAGCATCCAGTTTTGATAGTTGTCTTAATTTAAAAAAAAAAAAAAAACCCAGAAGTAGAAAATCCGGTAGCAGTGTGGTGCACTATAAACAAGGGGAGTTAGGAGACTGAGTTCCCCGGTTCTAGTTCTGACATTAAGCAAGTCTCTTTAATTACTGTGGCCTCAGTTTCTTCACTTTTAAAATTAGGATGTTCAGGGTTTAAATACCTTCCAAGTCTGAATTTGGATGAGAGTAGGTTAAAAAGTTCTTCTCAAGTAAAAAGAATACTGACTAGACATTATTTCTTTATAAAAACCTCTCCCCCTCCCCATTCCAAATGTTAAGGTCATGGACACTGGAATGGAGACAGTATCAAAAGGGACTTGTCATAGATAACTGAACCTAAAAGCGATATAGTAGACCAAGTTATCTCTTAAGGTGCCTTCCAGCAACATTATTTAAACTATGATCTACGCTTCTGAAGAGAAATACTAAAAATGGCTCCCATGTATTTGGTGACAAGAGTCTACACATTTTATTTGTAAAGATATGTGATAACCAACCATTTTCAGCATATGCACATAGAAACTTCTGGCTCATAAGATGGTTTAAAAACAAGAAAGACCCATTTTATAATCTTACCTGATCGGTTTTATGAAGAGAATAGTAAAAATGAAGACCTGCAACTGATTCCAATGAACAATCCAATTCAAAGTCTGAAAGGCAAAACTAATAGCAAACTGGGAGGGAAGTTCAAGATGGCAGCGTAGGAAGTTCCTGAACTCACCTCCTCCCACAGACACAACAAATATACAGCTACATATGGAACAAATCTCTCTGAGAAGAACCTGAGAACTAGCTGAACACCTCCTCCACAACAAAGGACGAAAGGGCCCAGAGACAGGTAAGAGAGGCAGAGAGGCACTCTCACCAAAAACCCCACCACCTAGCCCAGCGACCCACAGTAAGGAGGGATCTCAAAAAGAAACAAACAGAGCTTCTCCGTGAGGAGGAAGGGGCTTATATGCTACACCAGGCACCCTAACCCTTGGGTGCTGTATCAAACAGACAAAACCCCAGAATGTCTGGCTTTGAAAATCAATGGGACTTATATTCAGGAGAAACATAGGGCTGTAGAGAATGAATATCTCTCTCGTAAAGGACTCGGGTGCAGGGCCGGCCCCGTGGCTTAGCGGTTAAGTGCGTGCACTCTGCTACTGGTGGCCCGGGTTTGGATCCCAGGCGCACACCGAAGCACCGCTTCTCCCGCCATGCTAAGGCCGCGTCCCACATACAGCAACTAGAAGGATGTGCA